AGAGAGAGAGAGAGAGAGAGAGAGAGAGAGAGAGAGAGAGAGAGAGAAACAAAAATGTCTGGATTATATAGGGAAGAGCCTCTGGGGGCAGCCTTGCTCCTGGGCTGGAAGGTTCAGGGTTGAGGGTAGGGCATACCAGGTAGGGACTAAGGGATGTTGGGAGGACCTGGAGCCCAGGTGTGCATTGGTATGTAAAATATGCACCTCAGTCCCTTGTTCTGAGGTCTGAAACTAAACAATTATATTTAGCATAATGTCTCACAGGTCCATGCTAGTGACAGGCAATGTGTTCAGCATACAGAAGTTATAAAATTTTAGGTGATGCTTATACTAATCCAATTTCCAAGAACATAGTTTAATTCCATTTCCAGGATGCCTTCACTATCTCCTAGATATGTAGATTTGTAACTATTTTTAACATGTATTAAAAATTTAAATTTATGTTCTGATCAATATTTTATTGTTTTCCAATCTATTCTAACTTTTACAGAGAAATTAAAAATATCAACCATATGTGCCACTCAGAGTCCAGGCCATCCTTGGTTATGCTGTTGAAAGGTATAGAAAGTTTTTATGACCCCTAACAGGCTGAGCAGAACGAAGAATGAAGGTCAGCTGGTTCACGAGCTCTAGGCTCCAGGAACTGTCTAACTATAAAGTAGATGACTGAACAAGATTAAATTCTTGAAAAAATAAGTACACAGGATGTGTTTCTCAGATGATTGAATGAACTTCCACTGTTTTTAAGATGGTGTCCGCTGATGTTTTTATGATTCCCCCTTATCTCCCTGGTTTGTACCCCCCAGTTTGTGGTTTTTTTCCTTTAAATACCCTTCTCCCTCTGGCCTTTGGGTCGACACTTCTCTTGTGAGTCTTGGCCTCAGCCGGCTGATCCCCCAAATAAAGCCTTTTGCAGTTGCATCAAGATCGGTGTCTCATGAGTCATTGGATGGCCGTAATCCTTTGTGGCTTGAGTGAGGGGTCTCCCCTATCCTTTCATTTTGGTGCATTTTCCGGGAAATTGTGACCACCCAAGTCTCTGAGAACCCACTTGAAGGTCCACATGCTGTGTGCTGTGTGCTGTGTGTCGGTTCTTTGCTTTTGTGTTTGTGAAGTGTCTGTGCCCATGACAAGGACAACAAACTGTGTACTGTGTTTGTGAGGTGTCTGTGCCCATGGCGGGGGCAACTGTCTGTGTACTGTGTCTGTGAAGTCTCTGTGTGCCCGTAGCAGGGACGGCCATCTGTGTAGCCTGATTTCTGTGCTTGTGGCAGGAGTGGGAACTGAGCAAGCCATGGAGAGCAGTTTGCAACTCTGGAATAGCGTCAGGTTACGAATTCTGGGAGGGAATTCATGGGAAGTGGAAGCAGTGGGACAGACATGTCAGCACACTGCAGGCTATAGTTCTCTAGAGGATGCTCTGGAGTTTGTTTGTATGGGAGATAGGGTCAGAAATGACCCCTTCTCTGTCTAAAGGCGATCTTCAATCACTGCTGCCTGGGGAAGCATCTGTTGAAGCTCTTGTGGCTTGTGTGTCTGTGTCTAATTCTGTGTTGTTCATTGCTGATGGTGTTAGAAATCTGTTAGATCTGGTCCAGTGTAGGCTGGCCAAGTCATCTGAATCTCTTAGGTTTGGTCCAGCGTAGGCTGGCCATGTTGTCTGGTTATTCGATTCTTTCACCAGCAGCTTTTCTATGTCTTGATTGTGTAACCTGGTTTCTGCACCTGTGACAGGGGCGAGAACTGTCTGTATCACCTGGTTTATGCACCACCCATGACAGAGATGAGCTGTCTGTGTTGTTTTCTCTGTTTTCTTGGCAAACTGTCTGTGTATTGGTTGTCGTTCTATTAGACTTTGACTGATGTTATTTTGGACTGAATCTACTGTGCTGAATATCCTGAGTTAACAGAAGGTAACATGGCCACTGGCAGAGAAAGAGATAGAGCCGCTGGTGCAAGGGAGCCTCTGCAGAGTGGAGAGGCAGGGGGGTGGTGCTGGTCGCAGCTTGACCAAGGCAGTCGCAGCAGTGGCATGCTTGGTGCTCGCAGCCTGAGCAGAGCCATACAGCAGGAGGATGATGACCTTGCTCAGGTCAGCAGTGGCTGAGGAGCTGGCTGGAGCTGAGGTGGAGCCAGGTCCTCCGGGCCCACCGCTCTCTCCACTGCTGCCACCCGCTCCCTTGCTGTCCACTCTCGGGCCACTGTTGCCCCTGAAGTATGTGCTGCACAGTTATAAGTGGAGACAAACTATTCATATACAATAAATTAATACAAATACAGAAAGGTTTAAAAATCCATTCAAGAGAGTGGCAAATGGAGAATGAGAAGTCTATATCACTGTAATTTGCTAAGATTTTTCTCTCAACTCAAGGCTGTGAAACAGTAGGGAGAATGACTGAGGATAGATACACGCTTATATGTGTGGGGTTTGTCTTACTCACAATATTGCAGAACTGCAATTTCTTTGACACTTTTGGACATATAAATCAGAGACATTTTCTCAATTTCTCCATCTGAGTATGCTAAAATTTGACCAGAAGCCCATCTCTGTGAATCAACACAAGGGGGCTAAAAGTTGCATAACCAAGGGTCAGAAAATTCCGAGTATTTACCACCAAGGTATTTTCCTCTGAAGAGATGCTTATAATTAGAGAAAAGGCACAATCTATCCAGTAGAAGAAAACAAAACAGAGCATTAGAAGGAGGACACTCTGGGCAGCTCTCAGCTCAGGGGGAGTTCTGTAGAGAAGCTTGGAGCTGAGAAGGTGGAGGACCTGCTGGTGATGTTTTTGGAGAAGAAATACCATGTAGCCACTGGCCCCTCCCATAGCACCCTGAAACACTGCATCTCTCAGGACCATGAGAGGGAGAACAATCCATTTTATTTCCTGAGTTTCCAGTGTGAAATGGCAATAATTATCTTCATTTATATGCTGTGATATATTTGGACCTGTACTTGTGATGGAATAGATTAAGTTCACGCATATTAAACCATTGAGTATCCAAAAGAATGAGAAGAATGGAACAATGTGCCATGCAGACTTTGGCCTAAGCCTGCTCCACCCAGATACTCTGGGACTGATGATGATGGCCTGGACCACAGTGAGGAGACTGCTGGTGCAGATGGAGAGGCCACGGGCTACCCTCTCCAGGTAAACAATTATTTTACAGCCTATGTCATCCAGGAAGTTTCTCAAACCAAAAGCTGCTATTGTCTTTGGCAATCCTTTTACAAGAAGGATTAGGATGTTTGTAAAAGCGATGTGGATGAGAATAAGGTGTATGGGTTTCCTCTCAGGGCTTCTCCACCAACTGAACATATAATTCACAGAAACAGACATGTTCCCCAGAGTGCCAACCACAGTCATAAAGAGGAAAATTATGTCCTTAATATACTTCAAAACCATTTCTTCCTTTCTAGTTAGAAAAACTTGTATCCAGGATGCATACACTTTTTGAAGGAAGCCTTTGCAATTCTAGACATGGGTCTGGATAGCACATTTTGCACAAATGCATGTTCTGGAGTTCACAGAGCAGTGACAGAGACATGTAATGTTGCAGATTAAGTCCCTGAAACTTCTCCTTCTTCCTATGGCCTCTGGGATATTTTGAGTGTGCAGTCAGGGGAGTTTGGTAGCTGGTGTTTAATCTAAAATTTAAAAGAAATATTTTTGATCTTTACACTAGGTAAATTGTCTTGTTCAAGTTTGTGTGTGTGTGTGTGTCTGTCTGTCTGTCTGTCTGCATGCATGCACACATTGTCTTTGTTATTTCTCACCATAGTTGAATTAAATTCCAAGTACCCATTACCAAAAATTCTTCCTCTGTTTCTCATTCTACTTCTTCCTATTACCCACCCAATTCCCAAATTCTTTGCCACATCACACTTAGATACTGAGAAGTCCTGCTGTTCAATACCTGTATCTTCTCTCACATTTAGTAACTTTACCTTCCACATCTTTCTTCCTTTGTTTGATATTCCTTTCTTATCTGCATCTTGAATAGTACAGTTTCTAGAATGGCATTTGACTCCAAAGCTTTATAACTGCAATTTTTTCATCTTAATACATTAAGTTTTTATAGTGACCGTTATGTGATTTTTCTCTGCATGAATGTTTACTAGATATTTTTAAAAATATAGTCCTCAGTGTCAAGTCAAGTTGTATAACATTTCCAGATAAAGCCCCACAGTTAAGGCTGAATCACCAGAAGATGTCAAGAAAAGACTCTTATGTGAAAAATTCATGTAACCACCAGGTTGCAGCCAGGGACAGTGGCATGTAGAACCCTGGGATGCTTCCTAGGAGAGTGGGTACCAAGGTGCTGTGATCCTATTGGATAAACCAGGGAATTTCTGACCCCAATGAAGGACCTCAGGACTTCTAAGGGAGCATGGAACAGTCTTGTACCTGCTATTACTGATGAGAGAGATGGCAGAAGGAGATTAATGAGTTGTTTGGTGCTTCCTGAGATGAGTGAAATTTTTGAGTTATGAGTTTTCAATATGGCTTCATGCAGCACAGCGGGGTGGGACATACTATTGTGAGCAAGGACTCTCCCATCTAAGAGGTCATGGTAGCATTTGTCTCTATGGGGCCTTGTGAGCAGCAGTTATGTCAGTTTGCTTTACAGACTGCTTCTCCTCATGTTTCCTTTCCAACCTGTTTGTCAGGCAGGCTGCTTTGTTGTACATCAATCCATGCTGATTTTAGGACTTAGACCTCAGCAGGATGTAATTATTTATGTTTTGGAACTCCATTTCCATTTCTCAGGATTTATGATTAGCTTTGGGCAGGGATTCGTAACTCACAGGACTATCTTAAATGTCTTTATCCTCATGATCTCATATGTGCCCTGTGAGAACCTAGCCTTGTTGCCAGGTTTTGTTCCAGGTGGCTTCAAGACTCTGGAAGTGTCAGTTGTTGCCTTTTCAACTGACCCTCTGACAAATAGCTAATTCTTGCTTGTATCAGGGAATCATAGAAACATAATACCATCCTAATATCTGCATATAATGAAGGATGCACCAGACATTAATAGGAAGCTCATCAGCATTTGTTATTGTCTTTAACATACACTTTAACTGTTCTTTCAAAGACTGGAGTCTGTAAAAATTGCTGCAATCAGTGATTTCAAGTCCTGGTGGAAAATATCAACATTTTTTTTTCTGTTTGTTTAATGCTAGCTTTCCTGGAGAGTCTCCATTTCAAGTCCTCTATTTCTGTTTCCAAACTTTAAGTCACACTTGAGACCAGGCTCTGGCACCCCTAGTAAGTGATTCATTCCTACTTAAGTGGACTGTCAGAGGAGTGAGGTGACCTATCTCTCACATTATTTGGGAAATGTTAAAGGAAATTAATTTAAAAGACAAGATTGATTTGTGTTTAGATAGATGGATGTTCCCATGAGTTTAACTCCCAAGAGCCTGAGATAGATTATATTCATTCATTCTGATTTGCTAAAAGCATTCAAGCAAACAATCAAGTAAAACAAAAAATATTGTTGTTCTTTGCTGTTTAGTTCTTGGATAAAATTAAGATGAGTTGTTTCACGATGTGCTACTTAACATTCTGGATCCTTATAGCAAGAATTCTCAAGATGGTAATGGTGACTGTTACACTTTGTGCTTTATAGCACTCCACGATGACTGAAGTTGAGATAACTATGTATAATATTAGGTGACATAATCAAGAAGGAAAATATGAATCTAGAAGAAAAACTTTCCATTTAGGAGCAATAAAGGTATTGTAAAAGAAAACATGTGTCAAATACTTAAAAAATGGAAATGCATCAGAAGTGGAAAGTACAAACTTTACAAATACCAATGAGTCTGTTGGAGTCACAATGCTGGCAAACATTTTTTTTTGTGTGTGTATTTTCTTTTGTCTTCTTACTTTTGAGTCAGAGTCTCCCTGTGCAAACTATTGAAAAACATTTATATTTATATAGCCTCTCTAGTGCTGATATTACCCATGTGTTTCATTATTGTTTCCAATTTTTGATAGACATTTGAAAATCTTCTCAATCTTTATGATTCCTTTATAAACTATAAGGAGGTAACCTTAGACACAGCTCTACCCAGAGCTCTGTCCTGTATCCAGCCTGAGGATGAACAGCAGTGCCATTATCTCCTAGAACTTGTTTCTTTTGATCTCTCTGGACCCAGGGACCAGCCTTGTCTGGGTCAGAAGGAAAGTGGAGGGCCCAAGGCTCACAGAGCCTCTCAACTACTCCCAAGCTTAGAGAGAAATGAAACTCTCCAAGTCACAGCTAAGGGGATCTAAGATCTTACCTCCATGTACCCACCTGGACCTCTGTGGTGCAGACAGGCTCTGCGGCAGCTTTAGGAAGGTGACACTTGTCAAGTGATATTTGTACTGTCTGGATCTTTGGGGCTCTTGGCTGTCATCAGGAATTGCGGACTTCATGTTTCATATTGTCACAGTGTCAGGGGGAAGGAAGGTCACCGCAGGGCCTAAGTCCCTGAAGTACAGCTTCCCCCTCTCCCACAGTTGCAGCATCTGTTTTGCTCAGAAGTTATTTCCAGCTTAATTAGTATTTAATTATTTTGAGAGGAAGGATGTGAGGTGAGAAAATGAACAACTAACCAAGTTCTGTGTACTGAGCTTCCCACATCTCCTGAGGACCTCCTGTGTACTCACTTGGGCCCTGTGCCTGCTGCTTCGGTCTCTGTGAGCTCATATGTTTCTTGCTTAGTTGATTCAGAAGGCATTGTTCTTTAGATGTCCTCCATCCTCTCTTGGTCTTACAATCTTTCTGCCTCCTCTTCCAGAAAGTTCCCTGTGCTCTGAGGGGAGGGATTTGGTGGAGACCACCCAGATAGATTCCCTTTCTGCCTAATATCTGCCTGTGGGTCTCTGCATCTGTTCTACTTCTAGATGAAATCTCTCTTATGGTGACTGAATGACACAGTGCTCTATGATTATAGAAAAATATTATTAGAGGTAGTTTTATTGATACATTTTTAAGACTAGTAGTGATTAGTTTTACCCTAGATTTATGGGAAATTTATTCTCTGGTTCTTTGTCACATGAGCTGTTTTGGGTATGGGTTCCTTTCTCTTGGAGTGGGACCTTAAGAAACATCAGACTTTGATGGGTTTTCCTGTAAGCTCTGTGCCGCCAGTGTCCTGGGACTTTTTTCAGGCAGGACAGACTGTTGGTCAAAGTTTTTGTGTTTGAGTTGATGGCCACATCTCTCTTTCTGAAACCTTAGACCATCCATAAATGTGTTTTTAAAGATTCATTCATTTATTATGTATACAGCGTTATGCTTGCATATATGCCTGCATGGCATAAGAGGGCACCAGATCTCATTATTGATAGTTATGAGCCACCATAATATTGCTGGGAATTAAACTCAGGACCTATGGAAGAAATATTCTTAACCTCTGAGCCATCTCTCCAGCCCCTCTCCTCTAAATTCTGTTCTATTTCCTCCCCCTCTTCCACAGGATTCCCCAAGCTCCACTTAATGTTTGGCTATGGATCTGTGCATTAGTTTCCTTCAGTTCCTGGGCAAAGCCTCTCTGATGACAGTTATGGCAAGCTCCTGTAGGCAAGCATAGGAGAATATCATTGATAGTGTGAGGGTGAGTTCACTCTCATGGCATGGGTCTCAAGCTGGGCCAGTCATTGGTTGGCCTGTCCCTTAAATTCTGCTCCATCTTTTATCCCTGCACATATTGTAGGCAGGACAAATTGTGAGTCTAAGGTTTTGAGGCTGGGTTAGTATCCCAATCCCTCCTTTGGAAGACTTCACTGATTGTAGAGATTTTAATCCAGCAAAATGGCTGCTCTGGAAAGGGAATACACCTCAAACTTTCTAGATCTATACAATCTAGCTCTAATGTAGATATACTCTGGATTACAGAATGCCATGACTGAAATACATGCCCTTAGTACACACCTATAATCCCTAACAATGAAGGTAAGGTTAATTTGTAGAAGGAAGCACTCAGGTTTGAAAGTTTAATCAAAGGACAAAGTGATGAATCTGAGAAAGATTTGACAGAATGAGTGAGAGATAGGATACACCCAACTCTCTGAAAAACAACATAGGAATGAGAGTGTACTTTAGAGAAGTCCAGGGAGATAAAAGGGGATAGTGCGGTTGTGTGTTGTGTGTGTATGGCAGTGTTAGTGGAACAGTTTTACAGAGACAGGTGGCAGAGAGAACAAGCTAAACACAGGCGAAGACAGAACAAGCCAGAGATAGAGAAGAAGCCAGAAGATTAGAACATATTGCCAAAGTTAGTATGAGGCCAGGCAGAGGAATTTACTCAGAAGCCAAGAGGAGCTGGATTGAATCAGTCAGCTTGGAAGATTAGATTGTAAAGAGGCTAGAAGCATCCAGGACTAGGCCTATGGATAGTTAGAACAGAGAA